CCATCTTGGGTGGAAAGAACCCCTTCTTGGGAATTTCCTACATTGTTGTTGGAATCATTTGCTGGATTTTGGGCCTCTTGTTCTTGTTGAGACATATGATCAAGCCAAGGTTGGTTCTTCGCTAATTGTTAAATGCGTACAGAGAATTGACTCGTTTTCTGCAGAAAACTCGGAGACTACACTTACTTGTCTTGGAACCAGCCTCAACGTGCTGCTCAGGCTGAGGGAACTGCTCAGCGTTAAGGTCTCGTCGTATTATCAAACCTGGCTCTATTCTTTTCTCTTTGTTCAATTGTATGTTTCTTCTCCTTGTCTTGGTAGTTTTCCAGTTGTTCCAAAGTACATTCACCAGCAACCCTTTTGCATTGTCTTAGAAGTTGGAATACATTTGGATTTAATCTTAAACAATACTCTTAAAATAACGAAACTTCTCATCATATCTGATTTCACGAACTGTGTTGCTCGACCCTTTCACTACGTTTCTCTTCAACAACCTGCCCATTTCTTACAAAACTCTCTACAACCTCTTCCCTTATCTCAACATGCTTTGTTCCTTTCAGCAGACTTGAGGCAACACCTGAACCTGTCGCAGTCTGTGTCTTGCTTGGAAACCGTTCCCAAAATTCTTCGAAACTGTCTGTCGGGCTATCTGTTCGCTGAGGTTGCCCAGGAACACTCGTAACACTTTCTTCCCGCATCATCAGAGCCCGACTAAACCATTCGACGCCAAGTAATTTGACAAAACGTCCAAAGAGTGCAATGACATCCGCAGCATCTTCCGCAGTACCACAAAGTGTCGCCAAATAAACGTTGAAGGTGACGACACTGTTGACATCCACTCCAAGGTTATGCAAATCAACTCGGAAAGCTTGCTTGCTGTACACAGCCTCTGGATTGGTGAAAACCGCAGAAAGAATCTTGACCATCTCAAACTTGGGATTCAGCTCTCGCACTTTCTTCTCAAACCGTCCCACGCTAAAACGACTTGTCTGACTAACTTTAGTCACTCGTCGCATGAAGCCCTTGACAACAGTTTGTACTTGATCTAATCGAACACCGGTCGGTTCTTTGCAAATTGGATAGAGGGCGCCAAGGAACTTTCCAACACTTCCTGCTTCAACAAGACAATCCCGAAGTTCTTTAAATACTCCAAGGATGGCATCTTCTCGTTCACCAGCGAGCACAACAAGGAGTTCAAGCTGTTTTTCAGCGCTGACATCCAATCGTCCCTTGTAAAAGCTTTCGCTAATTTCAACAGCATCAACTTCGCGACCCTTGCGTCCATCCGCCAGAATGTATTCAAGCATCAGAGACATTTCAAATTGAGGTCTTGCAACAAGCGCGAGAATTTCAAAGGTTCGAGCATCAAATTTCCCTTCATGTAAAGTCTTGCAGGAAATGAGGAATCGACGCACGCGCTCAAATGTAGCTTCACTTGTTTTCGTTTTGTATGACCAACCACCAGCCTTTTCTTCAACAACAACTGCTTCCGATTCATTTGCACTTCCGGATTGAGTTACAGTAGTAGTGGTGGTAGTTACTGTTTCAACCAAGCCTCTCGAGCGATCAAGACTGTTCGATCTTCCTGGTGTTGTTGGAGGACTTGGCGATGGAGTTGTGCTGGCGGGTCGAATGTATTCAGCTCTGAATGTTTTGTGACCCTTCACTTTCTTTGCTTCAGTAACGGATTCCGATTTGATTTTCTCTATGTCTAGAATGAGCAAAGCTTTCACAAAGTAATAAAACTTACCACTTTCAACAACAACAGTAGCCGTCGTTACAAGTCCGACACTTTCTTCTACAACCATAGGTGACACTTTACTTGTTCGCCGGTGTCGAGTTTCTTTGCCTGCAATTTCTGTGTTCATCATGTGCTCGTCGCTCAACACACGTCGTCGAGCTCCAACTTTTTCTTGATGGACTTCATTCACCACAACATTCTCTTGAGTAGAATAGCCGGAGAAGTTAGGTACGTTTTGGTATTGATTAACGGCCGTGGTCTGGCTTTGAGGCTGAGGTTCAGGTTTTTTTGTTGCTTCATAGACAGCATATCCAACGCCAGCCGCGATTGCAGCTCCTGCAGCAAGCTCTAGAGCCTCAGTGGTACCAAATTTGTTTTCGTTATCGCTAATGAAAGGACTGGGCTCATTGACAGGAACACTGCTGTAACCATTTTGGTTAATAGAATATGGAGCTGAGAAAGAGAAATATCAGATGGATCTTCATACAAACAACTTAAATCTTACCAATCGAACTTCCAGCGTTTGGAGTTGGCTCCGAAGCAACATCACTGCCATTTTCCTCCAACATCGGCAACCCGGCACCTCCATAGGCGCCACCAGTATTGTTCGTATTATAAGGTGCATTATTTCCAGAAGCATACAAAGGACGTCTTGCCTCCTCCTCGTCTCGTTCCTTCTTCTTCTTCCACAGATACCACAACAAAACCAAGAACAGAATCGGAATCAGGACACAAAGAAGGAAGAGCAAAATCTCCCAACACAAAAAGTGACTGAGACAGTGATCATTTTCTTTGCGAGAGTAATGTTCTCGCTTCCTACGTGACCAACAAATGCAGAGAGCGATGCAAGCCGCAAGATACAGCAGTACAGCAATAACAATGAGTGCAATGCCCCAGTCCGGTAGCGGGACCACAACTGCGTCTGTGTCTGTGAGAGTTCCGTTTTTGGCGGTTCCTGTGACTGACTCGGACCCAGCAGCAGGGGCCTTCAACGATGCTGTTATTGTTTGTGTGATAGAAATTCGAGTTCCCGAGAGTGTCGCCATGCTTTGAGTTCTTGTTCCTTGAGAAGAAACGTCAGGTCCACTTGCAATCGGAATCGAAGATCCACTGGCTGGGTTGGAAGCGTTTGGTTGGCCAGGAACAATGGCAGGGTTGGTGCCAACAGGTATGTTCTTTCCGTCGGTACCAGTCGGCTGGGGCACATTGCTCACACCGGTGTTTGTTGGATTTTGACCTGGGTTACCTGAATTACTTGATCCATTTGTTCCTTGTGAAGAACTTCCGTTGTTGGAACCGCCAGATCCAGTGCCTGAAGAACTTCCACCTGATCCACCTGATCCACCTGATCCGCCTGATCCACCTGATCCAGTACCGGGAGAGCCCCCACCAGATCCACCAGATCCGTTGCTAGCCGAGCCTCCGCTGGATCCACTAGATCCATTTGATCCATTTGATCCACCGCCTGTAGACCCTCCACTCGAAGATCCACCGCCTGTAGACCCTCCACTCGAAGATCCACCAGACCCTCCGTTCACTCCATTTGAGGTTCCTGGAGTTCCAGGGGTTCCATTTCCACTGGCATTGCCCGTTCCAGTGCCGCCGCCAGTCACGCTACCACCAGCACTGCTTCCACCACTAGTGGACGTGTTAGGTACAAAGGTAATTCCAGTAGCTACAGGAAATCCCGACTTTTCAGGCGGCTTCGTCCATCCAACAGAAACAAGAGGAATATTTGAAGTTCCGCCGGAACAGGAACCACCGTCATTACAAGACAAAGGTCCAAGCGGTGGAACACCATAAAACGATCCACTATTTTGATTAGGTTCTTCTTTCGAGCAGCCGATAGTGTTACTGTTGACAAGATACGTAATGATTCCATTCCCAAGCGAAACACCTCCAGCTCGCATCACGATTGCAGTACCACCGTTGATTACGGATAAGGTGGCTCCAAATGTACCAGCGGGTGAAAACAATCCATCAATATAATCTTTCGGTACACCCAAGTCAGTCCAGGTACGAGCTTTCAAGTCGAGGAACGAAAGATGTGGATTTGCGTTACCAGAAGTGGTGACACCTCCAAAACAAAAGACACCACCAACAGAATTTGCAGAGGATGACCAAGGAGTGCAAGACGAGCCGTCTGCAATTGACAGGGAGTTTGTTGTGGGCAGTGAAGCCCAAGACTGTGTGATAACATTGAAGGTCCAAGAATCAAGGAGCGAAGTTGAAGAAGACACCAAAGCCCCGAATCCAACAAACAGATTTCCATCAGGAAGAGTTACTAGTTGATGTCCATATCGATTCGCAAATGGCGGAGTTGGCATTGACGTAAAAGCTTGAGTTCCAACGTTGAAGGAATAAAAAGGCACAGACACATCAAATCCACCAAGACTAATTCCACCCAGAACATAAAAGAATCCTTTCGAAACAGCGCACGAGTGGCCACTACGTTGAGCAAGTCCATTGGGCACAGAAACGGGTGGAATCCACATAGACTTTCGCACGTCAAACCGGTAGAGAAGGTCTAATGCAGCTACTCCTCCAATACACAACATTTGTGATGTATTTGGATCCAGGGCACAGCACTGAAAGTTTGAAGGCGGTGGGATGGATGAAGTGTCTAAAGAAACCTTAATTAGCGCCTGACCATGGAAATAGGGCATACTAGTCCGCATTCTAAGCGTATACAAAGTGATGCAGAGTGCAGGCGTGGCACGCAGACAGTTGGCAGTGAAGGGGGAAGCATACTAACCGCTTGAATGGCCCTGTGCATCAATGAACTCGATATCTTTCCCGTTGCATGGCTGGGCACAAATGTAGTTTGAAGCCGTGGCCAGATTCGAAGTGGCCGGACTTGCGCAGGACGCCCCGCCAAAGTAGAGTGCCTGACCTGCAACTGGATCGTACACAACAGACGATCCAACAATCGGCTCTTTGCACCCGGAAACAAGTGTGCTGAACAAGGCGATACTCAGACAGGAAACTACTATTCGATGTCGGTGGTGTTGATGCCGATCTCGATGAGGCAGACGCATTGGATGGTTTGGTTTTGGTGGTGGAGATTGGTTTTTGCTTGTCTCTTTTCTGCTCTGTCAACAATTGTTTTCTTCCCTTTCAAGTCATCAGAATATTATATGGAGAAAGAGATAGACTTGGGTACACCCCAACAAATCGACTTGATGTGAGCTCCATTTGCTAACTTTCTAAGAGTTTAATTTACTATATGTATTAATTTAGCCCCACAACCCAACAGGACTGATAGCTCAGTGGTAGAGCGTAGGACTGCAAATCCCGAGGTCGCGGGGTCTACTGCGTCCTTTCCTCTCTGAAAAATTTTTGTCCCCCCGACACTCCCCCTCTCTCAGAAAAATGGAGCAATCTGATTGGTCGAGCAACCCGCACCCAACTCGCAACAAGGCCAGAAAAAGCGCACAGAGAGAATGCGTTGCAAACCACACACCACCACATAGAGAGACCACCACCACCAACCACAGCAGCCTCTCTCGGTAAACGACCTCTCTCCCCTAATCTCACGTAACTCTACGAACAATCTAACAAACAAAAACAGCGATACGACGTAATGACGGGACGGTGGACGGATGAAGACAAAGGATGGGCACGACGAAACTGATCGTTCAAAAACCTCACACTCCTCACAACCTCTCTACCATGTACCGCTGCTCTCGTAGCCCTCCTCACAGCACCGTCGGTCATATCTGGATCAAGCGTTGCCACTTCGACGATGTCTGGATACGGGGTAGCCTAGACAGCTGGCGGGCCCTTCACTAGAAAGCTGTCAAAATCAACGACGAACACAGCAAGACACAGACGTGGGGCCAGACGCAGACACGGAAGAAAACGCAGACGAGTTCAGTTGGTTATCGTCCAATGTCCCTCCTACCTTCCACGCTTGCCACCAATACCGACTGCGAGCCATTTCAATCTTATTCCAGTCAGCTCGCAGCGACGAATGCTTACATTCGTCCTCGGGTTTGACGGGCGTATGGTTTGAGGTGGCAACCGGAAGTACTGGGAATCGAGCCACAACCTTCCGTCCACATTGCTGTCTGCGACGATATCGTTGTTAAAGTTACATTACGTACAGATGCACCGTCTTCACAATTGTCGCATGCCTCCATCAAACATCTCCCCAAATACACGACAGCCGTGAAGTCTGTTCATATCCGACCTTTATTGCATATTACGTGAACAACACCCCATCAAAATAAAGTTAGCTTGTTGCTCGAACAATCTTGTCAGCATTCCATTGCATAACGAGCCACGTGTACACTAACATAAGCGCGTCACTCCAATCATGTTCAGCGAGTTTCGGTGTTGCATTTGTTGGATTGTGGACTAAGCTATTGGTGAACCACTCTGTAGTTTTCCCTACAACCCAGCTTTTCTTGGAGTTGCGCCGCCTATCTTGCGCCGTGTGGTCATCTTTAGACGCTTTTACCGCTGGTTTATGTCCCCAAAAGGCCCCAACTTTGTTTGATTTGAGAATGGCGACAGTTCCATAAGCTCGACAAATAGATGCACACATTCGAAAAACATGACGGCAATCTTCATAATCTCGTGCTTTACGATCCGAAACATATACTTGCTCTTCGAGGATGTAGTAGCGAGGCAGTGTAGCTTGATGTTGTGGAATGTGTGTATTGATAACAGTGTCAATACTCGAACGTATTTTGTCTTCTTGCTCAGTAACAGAAAGTCGAGGAGATCCTTTTGGGAATAAGGACAAGATTCCTTTCGCAATCAGAGTCGGTACAACTATGCTACCATCGTTGAATGGTGGAATGTACACAACAACCCATCCATATTTCGTGAGTCCTGGGTCCAGGCCTATTCCCAAACATCCAGTCTTACGAAAAACGGCCAGAGTATTCTTGTATTCTTCCAGCGATTTGAGGAGCTTGTCCACCATAAACGGCATATACATTGATTCCCCTTTCACAGGAACAATCGCGATATCCTTCTTTTCATGTTCAGACGGTTCTAGATTAACTCCAACAGACTTTAAGACTAATTGAAATTCTGAATACGCTTTTGTTTTCATGAATTCGTTGTCGATGAGCTTAACTACAAAGGTTTGTTGATTTGGATTCAAGTTAGTAGGTCTTGGTGTTGGAGTTTTTGATGACCTCTTTTTTCGAGCTGTAACAGTATTATTAGTTGAAGAAGTCTCGATATCGCCCGTTGGATGTGGCTCGTTGGATGGCAATCTTATTGTAGATCCGATCAAGCTTGCTTTTCGTTTCTTTCCCGTATCAGTACTAGTTCCACTCGGAATATCGACGTCAAATATATTGGCGGATACATCTTGAGGCTGTGACGCTGGTATTAAAGTTGAGTAAGACGTGAGAGTGTCGCGTCGCACCTTTTGCCTTTCGAAGTTGACGTGCTTTCCGAAACAGTTTACGGCGATCCTCCACCACTTTGTTTTCAATAACAGTAATAGAAGGATTGTCTTCATCTTCGATAAGGTCAATGATGACTTGTCGTGTGTGTTGTTGCGGGTTGAAACTCATTCAAAAGCGTAAATCTTTTAATTTTAACTGTCGACGTTCAATAAACAGGAGACGCATCTCGAAGTTTCCTGATTTGTGGTGTTCCTTTAAAGGACTTGGCAGCTTCCTTGTTCAACTTGTGTACAGCTTCTTTGACGGCAGGTGTGCTCTTCCCGTCAGCACGAGCTTTATGAGCCACTTTCTGAGCAGATTTGTAATTCGAAAAGCCAGCAACAGTTGTTGCCTGTTGAAGTCGTCCACACAGAGCACCAAGAGCAACAGGATTATTCGCGGCCTTCTCCTTCTCCAAGTAGGCCACAATCGCTTTGATATTTGATCTCCAGACTTCACCAGCCTTGTCGGTTGTAAAGTTTGGCTTCTTTCCCCACTTTGCTCCATACGTCGATTCCAGCAACGAGAGACCACCATTCCAAAGTGGTACAACGTCGCAGAATTTATATTGACCGAGTGTTTTGACACTGACTCGAGGGATTCGACTAGGGTCTGGTTTACTTTTGTCGAAAGGCCCATCATCATATGCAATGAAGAGTCCCAAGGAATCCTCCAAACCAGTTGAGCTGAAGCGCCTCCAGTCAGTATACTTATTGGACGATGTTGTTGATACCGGAACTGATGAAGGTAGTTGAGAAAGGGCAGAACTTTGTTGAGGAGTCGATTGTAATGAAGAACCCAGGAGATCTGTTGTAGAGCGAGTTGGTGTGTTAGGCAATGACGGAATCGGTACGCTGGTTGCAGGTACAGTGGGGGGTACTGGAACTGGTTGAGCCGTTTTTGGAACAATTGGTTTGAAGACAGGCTTGGTCGGAGTTGCCAACGATATTCCCTTCTCAAGTAAGCGAATGCGCTCAAGAAGCTTTGCGTTGTCTTGTTCGGCAGTAATGCGAGCCTGTTCCGCAGCAGCGCGAGCAGCTTTCTCCATCTCAACTTCGGTCTTTAATTTAACGACTTCCTCCTTGGCTTTATGATATTCCTCCGACATGACTTTAACGCTGCCAACCTTATCGTTCAGTAGAATTAGCATCCCTTTCACAGCCTCCAAGTCCTTTGTTCAGGTTAGTCAGACGATTGAAGTGATAAGTAAGATAAGTACCAAGTTTCCCCCGTACTTTTCATGAGCCTCAACCATAAAGCTCAAACTATTCGCCTTTCCTTCCGCAACTTTTTCTTTCACTTGCTTGCTGTAAATGTGGTTAGACACGCACAACTCCTTGTCGAGGCAGAAGACTTACGCATAGACCGAAAAGGCTGCGCTTACTTCAGGATCAATAAAAATAGGCAACACCTTCTGCCAATAATGATGCTGAGACGGGAAGCCCCAATTGCAGTAGACTTCAGCAAATCCCTGAAATAGAATGAGACAGCAAAGCGAATAGTTTGAGAACTCACCGGAATACCATATTTAAGAATCTGGCAGAGACTCTTACAGAAGATTTCAGTGTTTACGTCAGGATACTTTCCACCCTCGGATTTTTCGATATACTCCATAAACTCATGAAGCTCAGGAATAAATGACTTGAAAATAATATCTGGGAGTTTGACTTGCAAGCGAAAGACAAAATATGGGTCGTTTTCTGTTAACTTGAAAACCGCCAGCATTGCCGCCAATTGTGGTAGCAAGTTCACATACACTCCATACGACCCTTTTGCAACCTCCCAACCCACAAACTTCTTGATGTCTGTGTCGGAAAGTCCAGCGGCGTTCATTTCATCAGGCCCAAGCTTTCGGTGACCATGGGTAACAGATTGGACGTCAATACCAAACGCGACTTGACTGTCTTTCTTGCGTCGATAATGAGTCGTTGCATGCATTTTCTTGGTTGGATCCTTTCCAATAAAAAGTGGAAGTTTGTGCCAAGACTGCCAGCCTTTCTTGAGATCTGGAAACCTGTCTCCGTTGTCTTTCCCACCAAACATTTGAACGCATAATGGAATGGCTTGATAACGATCGGTGAGATTCATAAGTATCGCAGTGAATGCACACTTTTCGGGCTCGGGGTTGGGAAGGTAACCTGTGACTTTAACATCCTATTTTATGGTAATCAGATGAGCGAGAAAGAGGCAATGAAAACAACTTACGCCGCTACCATTACTGTCACCTTTTTGAGTAAAAAACTGAAGTCCTGCGTGGAAAGTTCCCCATTTTGTTTTGAACTCATGTGTCGCGATTCCACCCAGTTCATACCCACGATTACTGTCACTACGATGCTTTGTATTCAGCATAAGGATATCTTGCGCGTAATATTGGAAGCCCTGAATGTTAACAAGACGTTAATTATAAGGTTTGTGGCAATCGAAACTGTACTTTTCTATTGCGGGTGTTCATTTGCCACCATCGTTTAAGTTCATCAGTGTATGAGTCTTTTGAATTCAACAATGCCAGTCCACTTTTTTGCATGAAATTTGTGTTCTTTGAGTTCTCGGCTTCAACCACCATAATGGCTTGCTTCATACGCTTGGAAATACTTTCATTTTCGGTTGGGTTTCTCTCCTCTGGATGGCAAGCTGCGGTGAGGTCGAACAGAAGACCAAGTGAAGTACGGCATTTACGGATCATGGACTGCCAGGAATCATCAGAAATATTGAAAAACAAGTATCTACAAACCTTTGAGAAGCGTGGCAGACCTCTTTTCGACTCTGTGTTCGGCGCGCGTTCGAAGAACGCGAAAAAGTCGACAAACAGCGCTATGGATGGTTTCATCCAGTTTTTGTACATTTCGCGGTTCGGAAACTCGTTTTGTCGAGAATTGATGAATGTCTGAGGATAGTAAGTTGCAGTCAAACACAAATTCAACTCTTAC